TTTATAGACGAGCTGAAGCAGGGAGTCTTTATAGACGAGCTGAAGCAGGGAGTCTTTATAGACGAGCTGAAGCAGGGAGTCTTTATAGACGTGCTGAAGGCAGTCTTTACAGACGAGCTAAATGGAGTCTTTACAGACGAGCTAAAGGGAGTCTTCTAAGAAGAGCCGAAGGGACTCCTTATAGATGAGCTGAAGTTCAGGAAGTATTTGTAGACGTACTGAATTGCAGGGAATCTTTATAGATGAGCTGAGGTGCAGCGAGTCTTTGAAGGCCTTCAAGACGGGCGTATGGTTGTTGTTGTTGTAACCGCCCTATTGCTGAGGTGACAGACGTTGGCCGAGTATAACTCGGGTCGTTTCGGATCAGAGACCCCTCTGTCGCGGAAACTAGTGTAAGGTAGGTTTTGCGGGTGGGGTGAATGACAGGAAAGCTTGATAGACGTACTGAAAGAATTTGAAACGAGGTATATAGTATAGAGTCTATATTGAACAGTATAGATGAGAACTAGCTAAATATAGACCTTTAGATACGAGGTATTAACAGACGAGCTGTATAGCATAGAGTCCCAATAGAGCAGCTTTGGTAAGGGAATGTTTAAAAACTGTCTAAGTATATTTGTAGAAGCCTAAAAAAATGGATTCTTCATGAATGAAATGGTTAGAATCTCTTAAGACGTGCACCAATTAAATAAAATCGGACGAAAATATATATGGGAGCTATATCTAAATCTGAACCGATTTTCACGAAACTTCTAGACTTAAATCAGTACACTATGACAAATTCCGTGCACATAAAAAGATTTCCAGGGACTTTAGTGGACTATTTACCTAAAATCGGGCGAAACTATATATGGGAGCTATATCTAAATCTGAACCGATCATAATATCAATGATCTGATCATGCACATTCCTCTTGAGTATTTACCCAAACATTATGGTGGCAATAATGGTTCATTTACTGAACTGACGAAATAATATAATGATTTATCATGAATATTTCAAAAAGAACGCGAAATATGGTACTGATGAATATTTGAGACCAGGAAAGCCTATAGATTTGAATGCACCAGTCGGTTTTGGTGGTTCGTTTAAAATATTAACCAGTAAGGAAAGTAGTAAAGTCGGACTGGGCCGACTATATGATACCCTTCACCACTTTGGGTATATTGTACATATGTATCCTTACAATTACATGGCAATGTTCCCTCGAAGGAACATATTCCTGTCTTCATGCAACCTACGATAAAGTTTAAGCTAAAAATTTAATTTTAATCAGAATTCGAAATACATATGGAAGCTATGGCTGCATCTGCACCAATTTCGATAAAACCATTTATGTACAATAGGACGAATATATTTGTATATGTGGGAGCTAAATCGAAATCTGAATCGATTTTAACGAAACTTACCACACACGATCCTAGGCTCAATTCAGTACGCTATGCCAAATTTCGAGCACGTCGAAGGATTTATAGGCACTTGGTGCAGTATTTACCTAAAATCGGAGCTATATCTAAATCTAAACCGGTTTTCACGAAATTTAACACATATCGTTCTAGACGTAATTCCCTACGTTGTGCTAAATTTCGTGCAAATCGAAAGATATATAGGTACTTTGGTGCTCCGTTTACCTTAAATCGGACGAAAATAAATATGACAGCTATATCTATATCTGAACCGATTTTCACGAAACTTGGCACACGTTATTATAGACTCAATTCAGTACACTATGCTAAATTTCGTGCAAATAGAAAGATATATAGGAACATTGGTGCACTATTTACCTAAAATCGGACGAAAATATATTTAGGAGCTATATCTATATCTGAACCAATTTTCACGAAACTTGGCACACGTAATACTGGACTTAATTCAGTACTCTATGCAAAATTTCATACAAATCGAAAGATGTATGGGGACTTTGGTGCACCATTTACATAAAATCGGACGAAACTATATATGGGATCTATATCTGAACCGATTTTCACGAAACTTAGCACACATCATTCTAGACCTAAGTCATTACGCTGTGCCAAATTTCGTGCAAATCGAAAGATATTAAGGGACTTTTGTACACCATTTACTTTAAATCGGACGAAAATATATATGGGAGCTATATTTAAATCTAAACCGATTCTTCCCAATTTCAATAGGGTTCGTCCTTGGGCCAAATAGACTAGCTGTGCCAAATTTCATCCAATTCGGATCATAAATGCGACCTGTACTTTGTTCACAATTTAACATGGACAGACAGACAGACCGACATACATAAATCGACTCAGAAAGTGATTCTATGCATATTCTCAAAATGGACCATGTTTCTATCCCGATTCCTTTTGCGTGTTACAAACATATGCACAAAGACATAATACCCTGTACCACAGTGTGGCGAAGGGTATAAAAATGGGTTTTACTTATTTTATTTTCGAGATTAACTGCAGGAACATTGCACCTGGCTTACCCCTGCGTTATTCAATATTCAGAAGTTAAATCCGGTAAGTGGCGGGTAACATTTAAGAAGCCAAAAGTTGCAGAGTTTAAATCCACGCTTCCGGGCTTCAAATCGAATGTCCTGTAATTTTGCATTTCCGGTTCATGGGAAGCTTTCAATATGGGCTTATATTTAAAAATCGCCATATTGCAACTTACTGTCAGTAGTTCGGCAGTCCAAGTTCTTGGAGGATGGCAAATACATTTGCAGAAAATTATCAATATAGGCCCCTGTTTTTACATTACCCCATATTAATTTCTATATAATTTCAAATGAGATATGAAATTTAAAATCAAGAGAGAGTATTCTTCAGATTAAAATTAAGAAAAACTCGAAGGTCAAAAAATTAATAATGGGATTACCAACACTTGCCAATAAATCATATTCAATATGAAAACCTCCAATAATAAGTTTTTACTTTGTTGCATGTTTTCCCCCAATACTAGATTGAATATTTCGATAAAGTAAATTATTTTTTAAACAGCACTAAATAAGACGCTAAAGATGTAGATAAGTTTTGTTTTTTATTTTAATATATTCGCAATGAAATAACTAAAAAAGGCCAGGGCTTATTATTAACTCTTATAACCCGAGAAAATATTCCCACTTCAATGTGAGCTTTGTTATAATCATCACTGATAATTTCACGCCAATAAAAATATGAAGCGTATATAAATCGCAATTGTGTTCATCTTACTTATACAGGACAATGTCGATAAATGCAATTTTCACAAATGATAAATATTGGTGATATGAAACTACAATAAAAATGTCGATTGGTTCTTCGTGTGTTGAAAACTTGAGTTATTTCTTCCGATTGCCGATATTACAGATTACCCCACATTAATCTGTTCCACTTATCTAGAGTCCATTATATATCTCACATGTGAACTTTATATTCGATAATATACAATATTAAGCATTATCATGAACTACATTTACGATTAAAATGTGAAAATGCGGCTTCAATTGCAGGTGCTTTTTTTCCTGTTTCAGGTTCGTCCTCTACTTCACAGGGAATTTTAGCAAAACGAATTCATTGAAGATGTAGCTGATGAAAAGACGGCATCAAAACAGCCGTTCGTAAGTATTACCCTTAATGGTTATGTTTTCATGTAATACTCATTCATTCCGCTTAAACTTTGTTTCTGGCAGTGGCTGCCCATTACATTCGGACGTTATGAGACGAAAAGAAAACAAAACAAAATGGGGCGTTTTAATACATTTAACACGCTTAATTTATTTATAATTACATTGATATTTAAAGACTTATTTTGCAACAGCACTCTAGTGCTACACAAGTGAAGGGAAGAGACCTTGGACCTTTTTAAGGATCAAAATTGTGCCCTGTGTTGATGTAGATGAACGGTTGTGCTATGTAGACATATTATTTTGTGTACGAAGCTCAAGGTGTTTATAGGATGAAACTGCGAAAGTGTTAAACTTTTCCATGGTTGTTAAACGTAGTAACAGGCTAATTGTCCGAAAATAACCAACTCAAAAGAAGATCTAAGCTTTAGGCCACAAACAGAAAAAAAATGAGAACATTATAAGATGCTTTATTAATTATAATGAATGTTTAATGCCAACGTGAGGCTGTGAGAGTCCATGGGCTCACAGTTAGATGTAGCCCGCGGCTAAATCTCAGTTATCCTGAAAATTAAAATTTATCATATAAATGGTATATAATGACATATTTCAGATGATTATATAAAATAAATTGTAACAGCTGCTTTAAGTAATTTTCCGGGGAAATATTAAAGTATTCATTTATTAGCTACCTCATATTCAAGGTTGGAGATGGAAAGCTAAAAAGGATGGTGAAACTATTTTTATATTCTTTCAGCATCCAAAGAATAAATCACAAGTCGAAATGTAGTAACACCATACCGTGACATCTTTTAATATTGTCATATTTTATTTCCGAACAAAGAGAAGCAATTAAGTCTCGCCAGGACATGAGGTGGACATTCTATATAGAGGCTATGCCAAGGTAAATTACTGCCAGCAACGTGGTACCAAACTACAGGAACTTATGTGAGGAAATTGTGTTAGGACCTTCTACCAAAAGGATGTGTATCCTTTTATTGGAGGCTATGTAGAAACATGAACTTATATTGAACAAGTTATGTGAATAAGTTCTTTTAGCCAACAAGGCCCTAGAATTCCAAACTACAGCCACTTTGTAATGCTAAAATGTAGGAACTTCGTTTGGAAATTGCGCTCTGGATCATCAAAGTATTCATAAATTGGCTGGGAATTCCATAAAAGAGGGCTATACACAAAGATTGACCTGTATTTATAATGTTTGGCAAGAATATTTCAACGCAATAGGGACTCAATATATAAAATTAGATCCAACTCGAATGAAAAGCATGTCTAAAATTTTTATCCTTAAGGCGGTAATAAATATCGTCCAATTTTTACAGAGCCGACAGACACCCAAAGTCAAAAAAATGTGTTTGATTTTTTTTCTTATAATATATTATCTTCTAAATTCATTCAATTTTTAATCTACAGCTAATTTCCTAAACGAACCACCCAAACCGAACGGTCCATCCAAATCTATAGGTTTTCCAGGTCTCAACGATTCATCTGTACCATATTTTGCGTTCTCTTTGAAATATTCACGATATAAATCAAATGTTTTATTATATTCCTTAGTTAGTTCGCTGAAAGAACCATTATTGCCACCATAATCCTTGGGTAAATATTCGAGAGGTATGTGTTTGGTCAGATCATTGATATTATTACCGAGAACAAAGAGCTGTAAAGAGAGAAAATATTTTCAAAATAGATTTTAAAATTGGTTACTCTCTCTCAAATGAGGGAGTTATAATATAATAATAGATTGAGGATGGCCGTCTTAAGTCATCCTGACAGTCGTCTATGGAAAATTCACTAACGTCTTTATAAAATTTACATTTAAGCGCCTAGCCCTAAAACTTCTATAAAAGTTCTGTTCATTTCTTTCATAAAGAATCCCAGTTCTAGTCTTTTCAATCATACCTATGCAGCTTTTAAAGATTCCCTGTGATTCAATACTTCGAAAAAGATATGAAGTCCTCACCTAAGCTGGTCTATACATACTCTCTGTTTCTAGCTCATCCATATACGACCTTTATTTCAGCATTCCTGTCCTTCAGCACACTAATAAAAACTGTATTCCATTCGTCTAGAAGGTCTACCAATAAAAACTATATTCCACTCGTCTAGAAGGTCTACAAGAACTCCCTGCCCTTCAGCTCGTCTATGAAAACTCCCTGGCCTTCAGCTTGTATAAAAAGCCTCTCGGAACTTCAGCTTTTCTAAAAAGCCTCTCGGAACATCAGTATGTTTTTAAAGTCTCCCTGCCTTTCTGATCGTCTATATAGCTCGACTAAAGCGATCATCAGACGAGCTATATAGACGATCTTCAGCTCGTCTAATACAAATTCTTTCAGCTTCCTTGTCCTTCAGCAAACCCACTATCTATCTACTATCTTCGACTCATCTAAAAGGTCCACAAAGACTCCCACCCTTAGGGTCGTCTATGAAAGTTCCTTGCAATTCAGCTCATCCCATTCAGCTCCATGTCCTTCAGCTCGGTTATAAAGCCTCTCGGAACTTCGGCTTTTCTATAAGGATTGCCTGAAATTCAGCTCATCTATAAAAACTCCTAGGCATTCATCTCGTCTTTAAAGACTCCCTGCTTCAGCTCGTCTATAAAGACTCCCTGCTTCAGCTCGTCTATAAAGACTCCCTGCTTCAGCTCGTCTATAAAGACTCCCGGCTTCAGCTCGTCTATAAAGACTCCCTGCTTCAGCTCGTCTATAAAGACTCCCTGCTTCAGCTCGTCTATAAAGACTCCCTGCTTCAGCTCGTCTATAAAGACTCCCTGCTTCAGCTCGTCTATAAAGACTCCCTGCTTCAGCTCGTCTATAAAGACTCCCTGCTTCAGCTCGTCTATAAAGACTCCCTGCTTCAGCTCGTCTATAAAGACTCCCTGCTTCAGCTCGTCTATAAAGACTCCCTGCTTCAGCTCGTCTATAAAGACTCCCTGCTTCAGCTCGTCTATAAAGACTCCCTGCTTCAGCTCGTCTATAAAGACTCCCTGCTTCAGCTCGTCTATAAAGACTCCCTGCTTCAGCTCGTCTATAAAGACTCCCTGCTTCAGCTCGTCTATAAAGACTCCCTGCTTCAGCTCGTCTATAAAGACTCCCTGCTTCAGCTCGTCTATAAAGACTCCCTGCTTCAGCTCGTCTATAAAGACTCCCTGCTTCAGCTCGTCTATAAAGACTCCCTGCTTCAGCTCGTCTATAAAGACTCCCTGCTTCAGCTCGTCTATAAAGACTCCCTGCTTCATCTCGTCTATAAAGACTCCTTGCTTCAGCTCGTCTATAAAGACTCCCTGCTTCAGCTTGTCTATAAAGACTCCCTTCAGTTCGTCTATAAATTGAGTCTCACTTTTGTTCTTCCGATATATTTGAATTGGACTCTGTCCATTTTCCATTTCTACTCACCCTTTGCCGTAATTTCTCTGAACATAGCGTGAAAATAACTCTCAAGATTTGTTGAGCCGCCGTTGGTACCTTTATAAAATAGGCAGCACGTATACGGCAAGGCATTGATTTTTCCAAAAATGAGACAATTTTCTTACACAGCGTTGGTGTAAATTGTAACAAGTGGCTTGCGGTACATTCACCAAAATCAAAAATAAAGACAAATCCCTGTATGGCAGCATAGGGGTCATTGACAAATGTAATTTCAAACATGGCACTTGTGGGAGGATATATATCTTCTATATTAAACTTATCGGGTGAATAACTAAAACGTCCAACGCAAATGCGGCAGCCATTACCATTAAGGGGTTTGGGAAGCAAAACATAACACCTATTTGAAATGGAGAGAAAAAAATTAAATAAATATCTCTAAAAATTGAATACACTTACCCTAAGTTATGCATTTCCCGAAATTTTGGATCATCCACATCGCTGCTTGCAAACATATTTGGATATTTGGTTTTCAGTGAAAAATATAAATCCACTTTCTCTTTGGTCCGTTCCAAGCTATATTTACAGCCACGTAGAAATTGTATTAGAAATTGATCATCCATACGTGCCCTTAGATGAGGTTGTAGTTTTATCCATGTGTTTAAGGCTTCCAAATCTGCTGGTATCCTTGAGGGAACTTCACCCAATTCTTCTATGGAAATTTTTTGTAAATCTTCTGGTAGAGGTTTTAGTTGTGACATCTTCAAGCCGACTGAAATCAAAAACACATACATACTGGTATATATAGATTCCGTTGGGTTGTTCCCATACCAGAAACTAGTTATGCATTTATATTTCGAATTTCAAATACTAATTGGGAAATATATAAATATATATATTTTTTTTAAATAAATAACATAAAATGAGAAATTAAATATTATAATATAAAAACTAAATGACGCTGTGGTCATGTGGGCCCTTCAAACACCCTATACCCTCAATAACATATCAAATTTTTTTTTTTTATGATTTGTAATTTGATGTAGCTGCATTCTGGTCGTCATTGCAAGCCAGTGCTGGATATAAAATCTAACAAAACAGTTGGGTATTATGGTTCTCCATTGATCACTTGTTGTTATTGTTTTGTTCCAAAACTGGAATTTTGTATATATTTATGTTTGTTTTGATAATGTTGGATGTTGAAAAATTTGAATTTTATTTATATTTGAATATGCATCTGAATTTAAATTATGTTTGACTATGCATCTGAGTTGCATTGAGTCAGATGTTTGCCTGAGTACAGTTTTGCCAGAGTACAGTTTTTTTTAAAATTTTAAGAGCTTGAAAAAATAGTTTTTATAAAAACAGCTTGATGTAATATTGTTAAACTGAGTCCATGGAAATGGGTTTGGGCGAAACTCTAAGAAGTCAGTATTAACACTCTTCACTACGAAGAGTAATATAACATTTACTTGTTTTAAAACGGATGGTTTTGCGGCTCTCATTATAAGCCAAACACCTCTGATCACTCATGGACCACAAATATTGAAATTTTCGGTGAATGACACTCTTAGTAAGGCTGGGTATTTGAAAATGCATACTAAAACGGCACGAAAAGTGCTAAAAAGTACTAAGTACTACTAAAGTACTGTATTTGGCGAACCGGTTAACCTAGAACTCTTAAATTTCAAATGAGGATTACTGATGGAGTGTAGAATAAATGTACTTTTTTAGAAGCACGAACTATAAGTATCCGAAAAATACTAAAATGTACTAAATTTGGTACAATTTTGTGGCATGCGAACTGATGGAGCTAAAAACTTGATATTTGGAAAGCAATTAAATGGAGACGTAGGGTCGATATAAGGAGGTGGTTTGGAGGTACGGATGGAGCTGGAATCCTGAAATTTTAAAGTAAAATAGGCGTAAGAGTGTGGATGTACGTAGATTTGGGAATGTATGTGTACAAAACAACTAAATCGTACTATATTTGGTACAATTTGGATTTAGGTGAACCGATAGAGCTCGAACACAGAAATTTGGAAATAAGATTACTGTTTGGGTATGGATACTTTATTTGTTTATATTTGAATTTTGGGTGAACCGATAGACCTAAAATCCTGAAATTTGGATTTGGGATCACTGTTTGGGTTTGGGGTTGGAGTGTGTAGGAAGTTTTGGAAATGTGTACTAAATGGTACAAAGCTGATGATACATACTAAGCCGGAGTACTGAAATTTGGATTTATGATCATTGTAGGATTGGGATATATGGGATGTTTTCGAAATTCGTACTAATATGTATTAAATGGTAACAAAATTTGGATGTTTGTAAACCGATAGAGCTGAAATCTTGAAATTTTGGAGTAGGATCTCTGCTGGAGTGTAGAATTGGGCTATTTGGGAAGTTATAGAAATTCGTACTAGTGTGTACTAAAATTGGTACATTTTAAATTTTGGGTGAATCAATAGAGCTGAAGTTAGGATCAGTGTTGGATTGTAGAATTGGTCTATATAGGAAATGTTGAAAATTCGTACTAATTTGTAGTAAATTTCAGGAATATAACTGACCGTTCGAATTTTAAATATTCTCTCATCTCCTAACAAAAAACTATGTATATGTGTCCACATATTGATATATGCGAGTCATTGTAGTATTCTCAAATTTGCAATTTCCACATTTTCAACCCGAATTCGGTGTTTTCAATATCGGATTAGGGTTATGGTTTCCATATAAAATCCCAACGTTTGCAATTTAAGATTTCTGATATCGAATGGGCAGAACTCATTTTCTGGGAATATTATTAAGGTATTTATACCCATCACCACACTGTGGTACAGGGTATTATGTCTTTGTCCATATGTTTGTAACAGGCAAAAATAATCGAGATAGACCCATGGATCCTTTTGAGAATATGCATTGAATCACTTTCTGAGTCGATTTATGCATGTCCGTCCGTCTGTCCGTCCATCTGTCTGTCCGTCTGTTGGTGTTATATTGTAAACAAAGTACTGGTCGCATTTATGATCCGAATTGGATGAAATTTTGGCACAGCTCATTTGTTTGGTCCAAGGACGAACCCTATTGAAATTCGGAAAAAACGGTTCAGATTTAGATATAGCTCCCATATATATTTTCGTCCGATTTAAGGTAAATGGTGTACCAATGTCCATATATATCTTTTGATTTGCACGAAATTTGGCACAGAGTAATGAATAAGGTCTAGAATGATTTGTGCAAAGTTTCATGAAAATCGGTTCAGATTTATATATAGCTCCCATATATATCTTGGTCAGATTTAAGGTAAATTGTGCACCAAAGTCTCTGTATATCTTTCGATTTGCGCAAAATGTGGCACAGCGTACCAAAATAAATCTAGAATGATGTGTGCAAAGTTTCGTGAAAATCGGTTCAGATTTAGATATAGCTCCCATATATATATATATTCCACTAAAGTCCCTGGAAATCTTTTGATTTGAACGAAATTTTGCACAGTGTAATGCATAAGGTCTAGAATGATGTGTGCACAGTTTCGTGACCATCTGTTCAGATTTAGATATATATCCCATTTATATTTTCATCCGATTTAAAGTGCCAAAGACGATTTGACCGATATTTGGAATAGCGTACTGAATTGTGTCTATAGTAATGTGTGATAAGTTTCATGAAAATCGGTTCAGATTTAGATATAGCTCCCATATATAGTTTCGCCAGATTTTAGGTAATTGATGCACCAAAGTCCCTGGAAATCTTTTAATTTGCACGAATTTTGTCATATCATACTGAATTAAGTCTACAATGATGTGTGCAAAGTTTCGTGAAAATGGGTTCAGATTTAGATATAGCTCCCACATGTTTTTTTATCCGATTTTAAGCAATTGGTACATCAAAGTCTCTGAAAATCATTCGATTTGCACGAGTTTCTATATAGGGTACTGAATTAAGTCTAAAATGATGTTGCTAAGCTTCGTGAAAAGATCCATAGCTAGGCCGATTGATACAACGTACTGATGTAATATAAATTAGTCCCGGGCAAGATTCCCCGAAATCGGTTCGATAACAAAAACGCGACTTCTATTAGGATACATATGTAGAATAAACCCAAAGTGGTGAAGGGTATCATATAGTTGGCCCAGTCCGACTTTACTACTTTCCTCACTGGGTTTTTATTGGATAAATAGGAATTGTGAAATAGGTCAAAATCGCTCTCAGAGTAAAAATTTCAATATTAAATACAAATTATTTAAAATCATCATCAACGATTACCATTTTTACTCGGCCAAATTCCTCGAGTAGAAAGTTTACAAAGAGAACCCGATTTTATTGTGTTCTCTTTAGTTAGATTGAACGTTTTAAAAGTTTTGTAGGCTCAAGAACCGTTATCGAGTAAAAAGTTGCAAAACTTGTAAAATATGTAGATTCGTGCAAGTTCTGGAAAGGAACAATTGTGTTAAAGTTACGTGTTGTAATAACTCTAGGCAAAAATTCCTAGCTCCGCTTGAAGAAATACCCTTTTTTGTTCTGAAGTACAATTTAACTTATTATCCACAGATAATGGTGTAAATAATTTAATTTATAACAAATTTATTTATATTTTATTAGTTTTTATTATCCTAATCCACAACCAATTGACGAAAGGATCCACCCACGCCATACAAACCATCCAAATCGAAGTTTTCCCCAACTCTCAAACTTTCATCGGTACCATATTGAGCATTTTCTCTAAAATAATCTCGATACTGTTCAAATCTTTTGAAATATTGCCGATTTAAGTCACGCAACAGACCATTTTCGCCACCATAATCGATTGGTAAATATTTTAGAGGAATATATTGGGTTAAATCCATAACACTGTGCCCCAAGACATAGATCTAAGAAAATAAAAATATATTTTAGTATATTTTTAGATAAAATAAAAACACTTTTTATTTAAAAGTAATTTATCATACCTTCTTTTGAATTTTCTCCGAACACAGGGAAGTTATAAATTTCACAATACGTAGTGCAGCGTTGGGCACATTTATAAAATACACACCCCGTACCCGAAGCGGTAATGATTTTTCCAAATATGTTACAGCTCTTTTGCAAACATTTGGTGTCAGTTGTAAGATATGACGCGTTGTGGCTTTGGCCATATCAAAAATATATACCAAACCATGTATGCCAGCATAAGGATCGGTGAGTATGGTTAATTCCAACATGGCACTGGTGGGATTGTACATTTCTTCAATTGTCATTTTAGTGGCATCATAATTGTACTGATAGAATAAGATGCGAGGACCATTTTCATTCAGAGGTGTGGGTAACAAAGTGAAGCATCTAGAATTTCAAATATCGGCATTAATGTATACTTTCATTATTTAAAACTTACCCCAAATGAAAGACCTCTTTAAATTTTGCATCATCTACATCATACACTGCCAGCATTTCTGGATATTTGGTCCGAAGCGAAAAATATAAATCCAGTTTTACTTTCGCCTTCTCTAAACTGTATTTGCAACCTCTCAAAAATTGTATTAAAAATTGATCATCATCACGAGCTCTTAAGTGGGGTTGCTGTCGTATCCATGTTTTTAAAGCTAACAAATCTTCTGGGATTCTTTCAGGTACTTCACCTAATTCGTCTATGGCAATTTTTTGCAGTTCCGCCGTTAGAGGTTTTATTTGTGCCATCGTTCTATATTCTATGCGAACACAAATTGAAATGTACTTATATTTATATTATTTTATCGACTGCACATTTTGTGCAAATACACGTGTGACTGAATTTGAAAATAAAAGTTCATTGCCCTGGATTATACACTCGTATATGAACGACATGATATGTTTAAAAATTTTGCACACAATTGCTATTTGGCGATATTTAAAATGCTCTAGATGTATTTTGGACAATATGAGACGATTTATACATTTTATGTTAATATACTTTATTGTTTTGAACATAACAAAAGTGAGACACGAGTATGAAATCATATTTCTGAAAATTTTAACGATGAAGTCAAAAAAGGTTTTGAGTTCAAACGAGATGAATGGGACGGTACCAATAAAATAGATCATTTTTATACAAATAGAGCTTCATTGCTGTGACAATCTGTGGACATATATGGTAAATATTCTGCGACATTTACTGCTAAATTGTTTTAAAATAAAACCAGCAAGTAAAGAAGTAAAGTTGGACGGGGCCGACTATATTGTACCCTTCACCACACTGTGGGTATATTAAGAGACGTCGCATTATTGAAGGACCATTCTCTGTGCAAATTTTTGTCTTAATCGGACAAATATTGGAAGTTTGGTGCTCCATTTACTTAAAATCGGACTAATATATATATATGGGAACTATATCTAAATCTAAACCGATTTCCACAAAAACTTTATACACGTTAGGCCATACTAACGTCGCATTATTGAAGGACCATTCTCTGTGCAAATTTTTGTCTTAATCGGACAAATATTGGGAGTTTGGTGCTCCATTTACTTAAAATCGGACTAATATATATATGGGAACTATATCTAAATCTAAACCGATTTCCACAAAAACTTTATACACGTTAGGCCATACTAACTTCAGTACGTTTTGCTAAATGTTGTGCCAAAATGATGTCTCAATCGGACAAATATTGGGAGTTTGGTGCTCCATTTACTTAAAATCGGATGAACATATATATGGGAGCTATATCTAAATCTAAACATATGCACAAAGACATAATACCCTGTACCAGAGTGTGGTGAAGGGAATAATAACTGTTGTAATTAATTTTTTATTCGCCAAAAATACGATATACCATATTATAGGAACTTCGATGAGAAAACGAATTAACAAACTTAATAATACCAAAAATGAAGCTGGATCTTTATGATACGTTTTGGTAGGGAGATTTTCTACTCAATGAGAATCCGAAATATAAAATTATTTCCAATTTATGTAAAACACATATCCACACTCCCAAAGATTGGCGTAACATATATTGATACAAAAACATGTAAATTCATGCCAACCCAAACTATGAAATTCCGTTTGAAACATGTCCAAAATCCTCAAAATACCGAACATCAGAGGACTGCCTTTATATGGTGTCTATACTTTAAACGAACAGTTATTAATTTTTTTATACCCTTTCACGACACTGTGGTACAGGGTATTATGTCTTTGTGCATATGTTTGTAACAGGCAAAAATAATCGAGATAGACCCATGGTTCCTTTTGAGAATATGCATTGAATCACTTTCTGAGTCGATTTATGCATGTCCGTCCGTCTGTACAGGTCGCATTTATGATCCGAATTTGATGAAATTTGGCACAGCTCATTTGTTTGGCCCAAGGGCGAACCCTATTGAATTTGGGAATTTGGGTTCAGATTTAGATATAACTCCCATATATATTTTCGTCCGATTTAAGGTAAATGGTGTACCAAAGTCCCTATATATCTTTCGATTTGCACGAAATTTGGCACAGCGTAATGAATAAGGTCTGGAATGATGTGTGCAAAGTTTCGTGAAAATCGGTTCAGATTTAGATATAGCTCCCATATATATCTTGCTCCGATTTAAGGTAAATTGTGTACCAAAGTCCCTATATATCTTTCGATTCGCACGAAATTTGGCACAACGTACTAAAACAGATGTAGAATGATGTGTGTTAAGTTTCGTGAAAATCGGTTAAGATTTAGATATAGCTCCCATATATAGCATCGCCCGATTTAATGTAAATAGTCCACTGAAATCCCTGAAAATCTTTTGATTTGCACGAAATTTGGCACCGAGTAATGAATAAGGTCTAGAATGGTGTCTGCCAAGTTTCGTGGAAATCGGTTCAGATTTAGATATAGATCCCATATATATCTTCGTCCGATTTAAGGTAAATTGTGTACCAAAGTCCCTATATATCTTTCGATTTGCACGAAATTTGGCACCGCGTACTAAAATAAGTCTAGAATGATGTGTGCAAAGTTTCGTGAATATCTGTTCAGATTTAGATATAACTCCCATATGCAGTTTCGCCCGATTTTAGGTGAATAGTCTACTAAAGTCTCTGGAAATCTTTTGATTTGCACGAATTTTGGCATAGCGTACTGAATTAAGTCTAGAATGATGTATGCAAAGTTTCGTGACAATCTGTTCAGATTTAGATATAGCTCCCATATATATTTTCATCCGATTTAAGGTAAATGGTGCACCAAAGACCCTATATATCTTTCGAATTGCACTAAAACGGTTCAGATTTAGATATAGCTACCATATATAGTTTCGCCCGATTTTTGAATTTATTTATGTTGATACTTTCTTTTGAAATAACAACCCGATTCATAAATCGTATATACCTTCTATTCTGTAGTGATAGGTATGTAAATATTTTCAAAAATTAATAACAACAACAATAATATTTAACAAATCCAGACAGCTGTGTAAACAACATGAAAAATGACGAACATTGATATGAATAATGACGAAAACCACCACAGACTAGAGAAGTAGATCATTTGGATTTTTGTACTCAAGTTCGCTACCGGTGGGTCTTTAGGACCTCATTTGATAGGCTTGGCATAAATTTAACGGTTTGCAGTCAATAGATGAAATCGCATACTCCATTGGAAAGAGGGAATCAGACTTTTAAAATATTATTCTCTCTTCGAAAAAAATATTGTTCAGTAAAACGTTGATTATTTTGTGGGGGGGAAGTACTAAAGAGAGGGGACCGATATTCCCCATTTCCAACTTAATCTAAGTTTTGAAAAATATTACGAAGTGTAAAGTTGGTATGATTTCGGTTATTCCCCTTGTAGAATTATCGTGCTCACCAGCCAGCGAGGCAGATGGACGGACGGAAATTAACACCAAGTTTTCGGAAACATATTTGGTCTAAAGAAACTTGGGGATCTATACCGATATTGTACAGTTTGCCGATGAGGCGTATTTTTGTCGTAGCAAAGTGTAGATAGGTGGAGGGTATAAAAAGGTAGTGTAGTATGTTATATGTTGACATCATATACAAGATTTCGCCTCAGAAGAAGAGTAAATTTCTATGAAAGACTACAATATTAGCATATTCCGTTATGGTAGTAAATCCTTAATTTCGATTTCAGCTGAATATAATTTCAGCCAATTATGCAGAACCAAATACCGTTCAGTGGCTTTCACGCATATTTTTCAGAACTTCATGGTTATTATTTCAAGACTTGTGGTTAAGTCGAATCAAAAAAAAACCTTCCATAGTATTCAAACACATTTTCCTGAACTTCATTGTTAATATTTCAAAATTTGTGGTCAGTTAATAGAGTTGAATTTATATAACTGACAAGCATGCCAAAATTGAACACTTGTAATTCCTGGAGTTTTCAACAAAATTTCAAGGCTTCTCCAGCAGCAAGACCCCTCCAGAAATCCTGTTGATTCCACAGAAATTAGTTACCATTCCAAAAATCTTTAAATTTCAATAATGAAAACCTAAGAAGAAACCACAAGAGAATCTAAATATTTTACCGTAAGCAAGGACATTGTAAACTAAACGCCCTAAGCGCAAACAATAGCAAACCAGCTACTAGTCTAATTGTCCTGCTGGCTAAAATGGAAAACAAATTTTGCAAGAAAGCAATAAGAGAGTGAGAGCAGAAAAAACACCGTTTATACCAGGATATTGTTTTGTAAACACTGAATGCCCACCAGATATCCAATCACAAACAGAAGGCCACAAAAATACTCTCCAGAGATTTGATTACTCGCAAATGAACAAACAAAACGGACACACAAAAAACCCAAACTGCATTCATTGCATTGTTGGACAACAAGAAACAGCAACCTTCGCCTGTATCAGGCGGCAACGGCACCACCAGCAGCAAACAGTAGTCCTGTACACATATCACCAACGGTAGCACAACTTGGACCTTGGTTGCAATTTGCAATGTGCAACAACTTGCAGCAAATGGCATTCAAATGAATTAGCATTGTGTAGCTGGCTAGCTAAATGGCTGTGTGTGTGTGTGTGTTTGTCGTGTGCACCAAATGAGGAGGCTCAACGAAAACCACATGCAGTCCAAATATAGCAACGAAAAAATCTTTGTTCCTCTTCTTAAATTTTTTTTATTCCTTGAGTTTTCAAGGTGATCGATAAGGGGTTCAATTCTAAGAATCTGCATACACAATGAATGGCCAATCAGTGAGAGTGTGTGTGTGTGTGATTGGTCGCAATAGTCCAAACATTGTAAAGTGCACAGTAGTATCGTTGAACATGTGGAGGTCTATAAAAATTGACTACTGCAAAACGAATTAACCTTGAATTGCTAACGAATTGAATCGACAAACAAAAAATACTTTTGAATTGAATAGGAAATTTAATTTGACTTTTTACAGTGTTTTCATTTTGACAGCTGACTTTATTTTGGTAGCTTCATAATAGCTACTGAAAGGTGCTACTGGGATAATTAACCTTGAAGATTATTATGGAATACGAGTCAGTGTTATACTCTTTCACACTTTCGAGAGTGTTGTTTTTTGCACAATTTTAACTGCGTTAGTTTGATAAGACATAGTGCAGATGTTGCAGGTTATGTTCGTATCCTTCCAGCATAATAATTGACTTTACAAATTTAATTAGCACTTTAATACTTGTTCTTACTAGTATAGAACATCTGTAATTATTTTTCTGTAATAGGAACATTTATAAAAAGGAACTCTAT